ACAACTGAGCAGCCCTGCACTCGGACACCTGACCGAGTTTCCTTGGTGCAGATGTCTGTCTGCCGCAGCCCACATCCACATCCATGCCCACATCCACGTCTCAGAGGACTTCAGTCGTCTGTGCTTAGAGGTCCTCCAGAATTTGGCTCCATGATACTATCAGGAATCCCAGTAAAAATTCTGATGAGCATTTTATCTTCTTTTAGAGCCCTGGAGAATACTCCAAGCCCTGGGCTTGGAAACTGACCTGGGGGTGGCCCTCTCAGTCTCTTTTTCTCAGTAAAGGGCAGAGGAGAAGAGCCTTTGTCACATGGGAAACTCTTTGGGTTTTTTAAACAACATAAACATTCTATGCTTTAGAACAACTCACCTCAACCCTTCAGCGTTGATAATATTCCCTACTCTCAAGCCGGACACTCTCTTCCTTTCAGACTCAAGCCCTAGAAGTAGGTTCAATCATTCAAAAGAAGAGCCGCCTGTTTCCAGAAGGTGAGCGAGCATGCCACAGGGCCTGGAAAGATCATTTGCTCGTTCTAAAAGGTTGGGGTGGGGAGAGGAGGTAGCCTTATAGCAGCAGCTCATGGAAATTTTTCTGCCTGTTTGGGGGAAATCTTATCCTTGGGTGTCACCAATGTCCCCGGGATTGAAACTGCTCCAGCAGAAAGGTTCCAGCCTCCCAACCCCCTTCCTCCAACTTGGCTCCTACTCCTCTGGTTCTAGGTGGACCTTCAGAGGGGGGAAAAAGGGTCTGGAAGAAGCATAAAAATTCATTCGCGTATCGATTCACTCAACAAATATTTACCAGCCATACAATGGGCTGGGTACTATTCCAAACACCAGGGACAGAGCAGGGACTAGGAGTCAAGCTAGGCCAAACAGGAACATTCGTGATGATTATTAACATCATCATGGTTGTTTGGCAAATAATTAGGCCTGAATCCAGCCTAAGTAGAAGGTAGAGAAAGAAAGATAGGAGGAGAATGCAGCAGACCAGGGCAGAGCTGGGCTCTGTGTGGCAGCACCACATATATGAGGGTCAAAGCCAGAAGGAACAGACTTGATTCCAAGCTCTCTCTACCCCTTACCGGCCAGTTATTATTAACTCAGACAAGTCACTAACTTCTAAGAACCTGTTTCTTCACACGAGAATGCAAATCATCAGACCTACTACGTGCTCTGATTGGAGATTAAACGAGTTTCTATATCTGGAGCGCTTGACACAAAGTGAGACACGGCTATATGGCGGGTGTCACAATGAGAAGAGTCACTTCCCCTCTGGTAACCCAAACAGGAAACAGTCTTGGGCCTCAGTTTCCCTGTGCAAAAATTTAAAGACGGTGACTAAATCGATTTGTACGTTCCCTTCCAGAAACCTCTTTGCTTCTCTTTCTCAGAGAAGTTAAGCCTTCTTCTCCTTTTCCCATTGAGCTTTCTAGAACAGTTGCCCCTCAGCTAAAAAGTCCGATGGGTGACTTCAGGGCAAAAGAAACCTGCAGGTCCCCAGAGGGGCAGTTGGGGGAGGGAAGGGGCACGGCCAGGTCTCCTGTTTGCTCAAGGCTGGGCTTGTTCCTCGCCAGCATTTGCTCAACCACAAGCAGTAGAAAGGTTACTGTTTAACCCTGAAAGAGCCGAAGCTCAGGGCCCAGCCCATCTGCAGGGAGGGTTCAGCCCTTCAGGACTGGGCTGGGGGAAGCCTTCTCTGAAATTCTTTCACAAGGGTTTGCCTGCAGGGCTGTCCCAACGTGGCCTGGGCCAGTCACCAGCTAGCTATTCCTCAGTCAGCTCGGGGTTTCTGTTCACCAGTCACTGCTCCCAAACCTAGAAGGCAGGTTGATGGGAGGGCTAAGCACCCAGCTTTAGATTTGAAGAGAGTTGGGCTCAGATCATGGGTCCCCTGCTTGCTGTGCAGGACATTGAGCAAGTTCCACGTCTGTGTAGCCAAAAACATTCTAATCTTCACTTTCCAACCTTCACTTTCCTCACCTATAAAATGAGAACCATCCCAAACTCACAGGGCTGAGAGAATCAAATGAGGTTGTGCCTGTGGAAAGCTTAGCAGTTACTAAAAAGGAATTCCATAAATATCATAGGACAACGCAGGCTAGCTCGCCCCTTGTGACCAAGTGCCCAGAGCCCCTTGCCTTGGGGCGGGCATCTTTTTTCTCTGCAATCTCCTGACTGCATCCAGCACTACTCAACCCATGGGGAAGCTTTTGGGATAAAGAGGCCACAGTTGCCCCATCACCACCTGCCCCGCACTGCCCCCCAACCCCCCGCGCAGGAAGCTCTTCTACCCATGAGCACGGCTGCTCCCTGCTGGCACCCCCTTTGCTAGGGAAAGCAGCTGGAACAGCAAGTCCCCCCCCCCCCATTTTTTACAGGGCACAGTAAATGGTTACTACTCATAAAAGAGTTTATGTGTCTTAACCCTTACTGAGTCAGAGTTCACTTGAGCTCACCCAGGCTTATAAGGGAAGGTCCGCATCTCCAACCCATCATGGCGCTGCTCTGACAGTGCCCCGGGGGTGGGCACGGAGGGCCCGGGGCTAGCATAGCTGAGGGCCGTTCTCCAAGTCCTACTCCCTCTGAGGCCTAGTTCCTCAGGTGGAAAATGAGGACATTTGCCCCCCTACTAACAGCCTCCCAAGAGTCTTGAGAAGATCAAATGAGATAATAGATAATAAATGTGCCTTGAGAATTGTAAAAAAGCATTATTATAACCAACTCACCCACACTCCCATATACTAATATAGACTTTCCATGGCACATGGTGATTACTTTATGGGGTATAAAAAGCAATCCTTTTAATTACAAAGTAGGGGGATTATTTAATGCTCTTCTTTAAGCTTCCCAGTTTACCTTCAGCATAGCTTTTATTCTTTCTTTAAGAAAACGTATCATGTAGATATAGGTAGAGACTCTGCAACCTTTGAGACCTGCGTTAGAAGCCCATCTGAGGCCATGTGATCTTGAGGATGCTAACCTTTCCAAACACAATTATTTCTCTGGCCTCAAAGGGGGAATGGAGGGGAATGTTGATGTCCTGTGTTGAAGGATGAATAACCCAGTGAAGGATTTAAAGCTGTCCGGTCTGGCACGGCACACACGCCCTCAATTGGAAATCAGTTTCCTTCTCTACCCTTTCTTTAAATATCAGTTCTGAAGGGGTTTCCCTAACATAGTTAACTTCTTCCAAGATTGGAAAAAGTAAATTCAGAGCCTAAATAAGAACGACTCCACCGTTCAAGTCAACAGCAAGTGAAGAACAGAACCCACATCTCATCTCTAGCTCAAGGGGGATTTGTGGCAATGATCCTCAGCCAAGTGCTCAGGGTAGAAAGCAGAGTTTTCTCAATGTCTGCATGACTGACGTCCCAGGCCAGGAGGGTTCTATGGCTGTCCTGTGCATTGTAGGATGGTAGCCGCCTCCTTGGACTTTAGCCACTAGATGCCAGCTGCAACCTCTTCCAGCCTCCCCCCAACTGTCAAAATGTCCCCAGGGGCCAAATAACCCTGAGTTGAGAACACTACTTAAAAGTGAGCCTGCAGAGGCTCAGGCTTTGATCATGCTGGTGTGGCGACCTTGGGCTGTCCCCTAGCTTTTCAGAGCTGCTGTATCCTCTCCTGGGAAAAAGGCATGCAATTAGTACCTGCAGCAAAGGTTTGCTAGAGGATTAAAAAAGATAAGGGGCTTTAAAGCCCCCAGTGCTGTGCTTGGTACAAATATAGAGTAATTACCTCATAAGTGGAGGTTAAGAAAATGCACTGAGTATCTGGACCACCTTTGTCTATTCCTAGCTGGTATGTATTCTGGGAATATAGCATAAATTGTTAACAGGGCTATTACAAACTGCATACACACACACACACACACACACACACACACACACACATGCTATAAATTTTATTTCAAACCCAAAGTGGAATAAAATGTGGATTATCCAGAGGTTTCTTTTCCATCTGCATTCTCTTATCCCTTCCTTCATGAGCAGCAACAATCAGAGACAATGGTATTTGACTCTGTGCCCCATTGATTGTCCAGACTTCCACATCACATTCACCCAAGACATCGCCCTCTGTATAGGCAGCTCCTTTCTTTGTTTCTCTTTCTTTCTTCCTTTGTTTCCCTTTCTTTCTTTCTTTCTTTCTTTCTTTCTTTCTTTCTTTCTTTCTTTCTTTCTTTCTTCCCTCTCTTTCTCTCTCTCTCTTCCTTCCTTCCTTCCTTCCTTCCTTCCTTCCTTCCTTCCTTCCTTCCTTCCCTCTCCCTCTCTCCCTCCCTCTCTTTCTTTCTTTCCAAGATTTTTTATTTTTAAATCATCTCTACACCCAACCCGGGCTCAAACTCACAACCCTGAGATCAAGAGTTGCATGCTCCACCGACTGAGCCAGCTAGGCACCCCTGCACAGCATTTTCTAAGATTGACACTTTTGGAGACCAAAGTCTGCTCTATAGTTGAAGAGGAGGAGCCGTGCATGCTACCCAATAGACCACTGTACCTCATGCCAGGCTCCTAGTCCAGACCTATTCAACCT